AGGGAGGGGACAACCAATACACCACCTTACCTGCGAGGGCACACCACCTACAGCATCCTGGACTAGATTCAAAGTCACCGCGCCGACGTAATTAAAACAAGGATCAATCTCATTGTCCTCTGGATACTACAGGAAAGCCGGAGCAATTTCCTGCTTGGCCTTGAGCAATTTCCACGCCTGACTCACGCGTATTGGATTGGTCGTTAGTTGCCGTCTGCACAGTACATTTGTTGCGGTTCCTCTCGTGATGGTAGGGTTGATTTCTCTCCTATATGTCTGCTTTATTTCAGCCGCAAAACGAACATATAGAGCTTCACAGGAAGCGGCATGGATACCGCTTGGACTATTTCGAAAGAAAGTACGTCTGTTTTATCTCAGCATTGTCCAATAACATTTTCCTAATTGGTTTTGAATTTCGATGTCACATACTTACCGTTATAACTATAGTAGTAAATCCGTTGCGAGGCTCCGGTGGGTTGGTTTAGAAACGTCTTGATACGTTTGATCGATTAATAGCCGATTTTTCCATCTGGTCGCTATGGGTAGAGTCGCAAAAAAGGTTGTCTGATAGGGCAGCACAGAGGAGTCTTCACTATGGCCCCTTACTGCCTCCTCGCTTTACTAGCATCCTTTTTGCGCAGGAGTTAACCTTAATCTATCAAATTTGGCTAATTTCGCATTTTCCTTTGCCTATAGAAGGCTGTGTGCTGTTCGGCAATAAGCGTGTTCGTTTTGTGATGAACTGTTAAGGTCGTATGGAAAAAAAGAATCTACTGTTTCTACACTTCAACCTATTAGGTTGTGTTGCCGTTTTTTGTGCTGCCTCTGCATCCTCCGCACCACCAACACTGACGACAGCTGGTTCTCAGTTCTCTTCTTGGACTGAAGATATCTAGTTTGGTGAAAGCCTCATTTCAAGAATATATTAGTAGTTGGTACTTCCCAGTTGATGTCAACTAAATAGATTGGTTGGCCTTTAACGGCGCCAGCTTCAGCTGTTTACGTCATTTTACATCTTATGAAGCCCCTAATACCGTCGCCGTTTCCTGTAATCCTTATAAACTTTACTGTATTCAACTGCGCCGTCTTTATCGGGATGCCGCTGGAAGTAATATAATTGTTCCGGGCTTTGCCACAAGAAGCATTCGAGAGAAAGTCAGTGTCCAATAAAGCAGAGGCTTGGATACCGCCCACGTCCGTAACTTCTGCGTTTTTTATCGAACCCCTTAAACTCAACGGGGCATGTTAGCGTTCACTGGCTGGTTGTAGATTATGTATTAATGGCATTAAATATGGGGTTGTTCCTCTGTTGAGCCCTTTTTAAAGGTACTGTATGCCCTATTCCAGCTTAGAGGTAGTCAAGGCGAGCTAAGACAATCATGCCGATTTTCACGGGCAGGATGTTTTTAGACTACGGTAGACTGTGTGAACCCTAGGCTTGTTGATGGCTGCTACCTTGGGTTAACCTCCGCAAACCGATAAGTCGTGGGTTAATTCAACTGGACAATTGTCCTTCGTTTGACTTCGTAAAAAGCCGTCCAAAGAACCCCTGGTCAGCCAAAAACA